AGACCCCTGTCACGCCGTTCGCCTTTCGTTCGGACGCTCATCCTTTTCTCCGCCAATTCTCATTCCCCGCATCTAGAGGCAAGCAATCGGCGGACATCATGTTTGCCACTCTTGTCCGTCTCTCAAAAGCCTCTCGGAAGCCTTTGACGCCAAAGCGCGGCAACAAGGACTACTACAAAGGTCAACTTCAACTACAAACGCCTCGTCCGTCCCAGCGAATCTCGACTCACGCGCACTGTTTTGGTCAGGCACCCGCCAGGCCGTGCTCCCGGGTGGTCCGCGCACGGGTGCGCCTGGTAAACATGTCGTAAAGGGCAAGGCCAAGTATCGTCTGCTTGATGAGAAGGTGCGGTACTTTGTCGCGCCGCCGATTGAGGACATTCTGGCGTCTCCGGTGCGTGGCAGTAATCTTTTTACCTCTTGTGCAAGTCTGATAGAGATGGGCCGTGATGTACAGTTGAAGCCGTACGTTCATACCGACGTGAAGCTCACGAAAGCTCAAGAGCGGGAGGTCCTCGGAAAACTACCACGAGGAGGACTGAACGGCGCGCATCTACTATCTCTCGCTGCCAAGCAGGGTGAAGTGGCACATTCCTCCGAGGCCGCTAACACATCGCTATAACAAGGTGTCGAGCTCCTCCGCCTTATCTGGGTCCCGCTCGGCCCCAGATGCACCCCAATACTTCAGGTCACCATAGACGATATCGTCAGGTGTACCCTACTCCGCAGTGTACAGATGACGCGAGGGCCTTTTGTACAATGCGCTGCTAGAGGCACGAAGATAATGTTGACAGGTCCATTTCATCTGCTACCAGGACGCGTGCGACGCGGTGACGGCTCTCTTCCAATATGTCACATAGACATATCACTACAAATTGCGCGACTTTCGATGTCCGAGGCCGAGCACTACGTCCGAAGACATTCTGAAAGGTGGTAACTGGTGTCGAAGTATGCTCGTACTTTGCGTTTCTTAGGAATTCATCTCGTTTCAGGCTTCCCATTCGTGCACTATAATCTCGAGCAAACCTGTGAAGGTTCTAGTTATGCGCTGCGCTCGATTGGGTTATCGCCGCTCCCGGACTGAGGTATGCTTCGACTCGGGTTCCCGACTTCGTTCATACGACATAACGTCTATCTTGACACTCTTCGTAAGGATCGACGGAAGATATGATAGATGTTCTCGCCAGCGAGGGACCCTGAGTAAAGTCGAACCTCTCGATCATGTAGCTTCTCGCGTATACGAGAATTGATCACTGCTCGACGCGGATGCGTCTTAGCGATGCAGTCGCTTTGAGCCTGCTTGACATACTACCTTATGCGAGTAACGGAGAGAATCGTTTCACGCGAAGCAGAATGCCGCCACTCACAAATTCAGCCCCACAGTGGCTCACTGCTCTGCATAAGCACGACTTGAGCACGACTTGTTGCGCCGCGGCGCAAGTCCAGTTCACAGCACCACGTGCCTGCCCTGGAGTATTTCGAATGCCTGAACTTCGAAGCCATTTGCTGCACAAGCAGATCACGAAAATGTGCAAGCTCCATGACGCTGCCATGTCCCTGCCTATCACCCGTGACAGATATCGATGCTTACTCCCACCACCTCCAGCTTCTCGTATGTATTCACTTGTGGCCCCTCTCGCGTCATACGACACACCGGCGCAGAAGGTTTGCTCACGCCGACCGTTGGTAATCTCGCTCCATCGTCATGTGACGAGTACGCGGCCATGATACTTTAAGGGGGTACCACTGGTCGGTTTCAATTTTCAAAGCACTCCAGCTTCTCTCTCACCACAAA